ATCCTGCTGCTGGCTCCATCTGTGTCCCCAAGTGCCCAGTGCAATAGCACCAAAGCGGGGGGAAGGCAGGTGGTGGGCAGGGGGCTTGTCCCCCTGTCTGTCCAGCCAGATGTCTGTCAGGCCTCCCTGCCTGCCCCTTCATCTGTTCATGGCAGCCACTTGCTCAGTAAATCACCCCCCGCCTCCCTGGGGCACTGGGCAGGAGCCTGTGGGGCTGACAGCTCCCTTTTAAGCCCCTGTGGATTACACCAGGAGGGGTGGGAGGAAGAAGAGTAGGATGAAGAAGAGGCCGGCAGGCTGGGGACATGGGTGCCACCACACTGGGGGACATACCTGTTCCTGAACACAGCCCCAGGGCTCCCCGGCACCCTCTGAAGCTCCTGGTGGTCCTGCCAGAAGTGATGGGTGGGCTCCAGCAGCCTCACAGCCAGCACTCACCCACAGAGAAATGCTCCTCAAACATCCTGCCCCTCAGTGGCCACATCACCCCTGCTGTCACCCCTCAAATGTGCATGGGATTGTGGCCTTGGAGGAGGTGGGGATCAGGGAAGGAGGCAGGGAGGGTGGAAGGAAGCAGGAGGAAGGTGGCAGGAAAGTGGTGGCAGAGCTCAGGGATTTATTTGGTCCCAAGGGAGGTGGTGGCATGGCGAAGACCCAGCATGGTGCGGCAGGGCTGGGTTGGCACACGGGTGCGTGTGCAAGCAGAGGGGTGGGAGGTCTGGTCACATCCCCCTGCCCCATGGGCCCCTCCATACAGCCCGTTCTGCTCACTCCAGCTGCTGCAAGAAGGCCAGGAGCCCACGGTGCCACTCATTGGGCTTGTCGAGGTAGCAGGGGTGCCCAGCGTCCTGCAGCACCAGCACCTGGTGCTGGGGGAGGTGCTGCAGGTTGTTCAGGCTGGTCTGTCCCAGCTCCACATCCTGGTCCCCATACACGATCAGCGTGGGGGTCTGCAGAGGGGGAACACACCCTGAGCTTGTCAACAGCACCCAGGCACCTGCTCATCCTGGCCGGGAACACCCTTGTACAAGAAATGGAGGGGGGACACTTGCCCTTCTCCCCCACCCACTGTGACAAGGAGAAACTAAGGCTTAGACTCCTGGGTCTCCTAATGTCCCTTCTTTCTCTCCTTGCTACCCATGGGTCACGCTACTTCATCAGCATGTTTCCCTTTTCTGGTGGCAACGAGGCCAGTTTGGTCTTTCTTCTGCCTATTCTGGTTCCAGAGTCCCCTCCCCACCACTCCCTCCCAGTCCTCAACCTCCCTCAATGTCTTTCCAGGACATACTTTGATCTGGGCATACTGCTCCGCAGTGAATTTCTCGGTGCAGATGGGTGCCACAGGCACATATGCCTTGAGCAGGTGGTTGTGCTGGAAGAGGAAGGGCAGGGAGTACATGCCGCTGAGCGATGGGCTGATCACCACTGCCGGACCCAGGCACAGAGCCTCCGAAACAGCTTTCAGGAACCCCCCCGGCACTGGCTGGCCCAGGGGCGCTGGGGCTACAGCATCCTTCGAGCGGCCCAGTCCTGAGCCACGGGAGACAGAAGTTG